CCCGTCCACCTTTACTCTTTTCTTTACAATAAGGCTTTCAAATAAATCATGGTTGTACGGCAGTGAAGCATTGGTGTTGAACACCGATGTCATGTTGTCGATGATGATGATGATGATGATGCAGATGATCAGGCCACAAGTTTTACCGGAAGGCACGGACTTTTTTGGGGGAATAATCGAAACCTGCCCGCATCCGGTGACGCCTTGCTTTCTCTTCTCCACAATCGATCGACGCGTGTCTGGCATGTTTGAATATCTATTGGACGAGTCGCTGGTCGTAACATTGCCTTCTACGTAGACCGATTTGGAAAGTTCATAGGTTCAATTCATTAGCACTGTTCGGTGTCTGTAAGCGATGAGGAAGTAAAAAAACACTGGCAAATTTCCAGCCCACTTGCTGTGCTGATCAAATGTTGCCTCGGTCAGCTAAACAATCAAATTTGATGTGTTTTTCGGGTCGAGATGGGGGAATTTTTGTGGTGCAAGAAGAGAACTGGTTGAAAAATGAACAAATGCTCCAACCCAAGCCCAAAATGAAGCTTTACAGTAGTTCACAGCGAGAATAATTCATTGGACAACCGAACCCAGTATTACGGTAGAACACAATTACCGGATCAGAAGTAATCAACCGACTAATTTCACGCAGGTAGTAAGATCACTCAACCAGGGTAGCCACACCATGAGTCCAAACTAGCACCAAGACACCTGTCAGAGATTTGTTCGCCTCACATATAACACACCGACTTCGAAAGAAAAAAAACACGCAACTTTTGAACCAATAAGAGCATCAATTGCGACAACCCTTCACCAATGAAACCCATGGACCCATGACGTTACACACAGAGGTAGAGAATGAAATCAATAACATTCCGAGGAATGGGGGGAAATGTCTTTAAAGAGATTATCGTTGAAAACCGTCAACAAAATTTGCCTTTCGTCCACGCGGGTCAACCGTTGTCCGTCAGCGGATGGATTACCAAGTGTTTCGAAGCTAAACCAAACCGTCCCTTTTTCTGGCTTACCCCCGAATGGCATGAGGAGACGGTAGTTGTTGTTTCGAATGAAATCCACCTGTATTTCATGTGATAATGATGTGAGTACAGTAAAATAATGAGACGTGATCCTTACGCGCATGCTGAGGATGGGCTACCTGAGTAGTGGGCTAAATCAATTAGAAAGTAGCTGGGTACCGACAGCACCACAGTGACTTACTTATCATGAGACGTTTTCACACATACTGTGTGTGTGTGTGTGTCAAGCACTCAACACTTTGAAATACAAACCTATTTGGTCGACGGGGAAAACTCAGCGAACTAAAATGAACCATTCACCAAGAGCAAAGGTCACCAAACTACGAAGAGAAGCGGCAAGTAGTGACATTGAGGAATTCGGAGAAACGGGACACCTTGGAACTAGCCGAACACATCCTGGCCGAGACCACATGTGCAGAAACAACTCTGGGCCAACAACAATGTGTGACGGAATGTTGCTCACAGCCATGCACCTGGTAAATCAAGGGGACAGAGTAGAAAGTCACCAGCCACGCTAGGTAGAAGGGGGGAATAACCCAGGGCTGGTAGTGAGCTGAATTATTATCCAATGCAGCAACTATAGTTCATGACATGCGAGTCTTTGTGACCACGTGAAGCCCACCACAAAACATGATCGACTGATATTGATTAGTGCGCCACATAAGACAAAAAACGAAGCGAACTTGCCTCCTAGTGACAGTAGACATAGTGGCTGAATACAAAAAAGAAAGAAGTAGGGGGGGGACGAGAGTTCGGATACAAGAATCGGTGTGACCAGGTACAACGTAAAGGGGGGAGGTGAATAAAACCAGAGGGAATTTCTGTAACCCAATGTTGACCTGAAAAATTCAATTTACCACACAAATAACTTAGACATAACTTCTGGAAAATGGTGTAGCTCGCAGCTTTCGAAAGATTCAAGGCGCCATAAACTGGATAGATTCTGGAAAGAATCTGGAAAAGCTGCAAATCACCTTGTAGGTGTGTGAAATATGGCAAAATGACAACAAAGAAACTCTTGATCTTCCAAGATTTGGGGTTAGGCATGACAAATGGCTCAAAAAGCTTCCTCCCGGAGTATGACTCCGGACGGTTTTCTGCGCACAATAGTGTCAATATTAGGAACAGTTAGCCGGACGAAGAAGTGTTATCCCCAAATCTTCGATGTAAATATCAGGGGAGCGTTCAAAATTAGGTAAAGGATGGTACGGACCATCAACTATCGTCTCCCAATCCCTATTGTGGGGATTGGACACCGGGAAAGTGGACAATTTCATCCAACGGGTCACCGGGTGGAACTGATTCTAGAATGTTTTTCGCTGCAAGGGCACTTGCTGTTCTTCCTCGAAGAAAAGATATGCCCACAGAAATTTACTGAGCTACCAACCGAACACGTGACTGTCAGGTCACCCCGTTCATGGGGACAAAGTTCGATTGATAAGCTAACCCCCTAGCAATCATGCGCCTGTTACGGTTTCTGGGTCACATTGTGTTTTAATTCGATCTCCCTGTCTTTTATCTTCCCTCGATGCAACTGGTTTATCTTGATATCTGGTGACAGGTGCAGACATACGGGAAAAATCAGTTGTTCAGAGGAACATTCTAAATCCTGCTATGGAAGTTTTTCACCCGAAATTTAAGCACAACGAAATATTCTTAGTGTTCATGCTCATGAAATGCAAGAACATGATGGTGCTGATAATTTGCAAACCAATTCGGAACGTCACTGCCTGCTTTTCAGGGGGATTACTTTGCTCTGAAAAGCCACAAGTTTTCCGTTCGCCACTCGGTGTATTCTGTTCGCAATGATACTCGACGAGTATGCTGTCTGCTCTGACGATCTGCAGGGTCCACCACACCGCAGCTACTTTTTTGAGTATCTACCGGCAGACAGCAAACACACCCTGATAGCGCAGACTCACTGCGAGTAAAACATCATTTCGGCACACACACTTACATCTTGGAGGCAGCCTTATCGAGGAAAGTGGCCTGTTTGTGGACTAGTATACCTCGAACAGCTGTAACACCCTTCTGGTGGTGCCTGGCTGCCATGTCACCCGAAGGAAGCACGAGGGCTGGGATACTGTCAGGTTGCCCAAGCCTAGACAGGGGAATTCGAGAGGCAGAGGTCGGGTTCGAACCACGGACTTGCCGGTCAGTAAATTCACGCTCTGACCACTTGGGCCATCTCGCCTCTGAACAGCTTGCGAATTCTGGTTTGGTTTTCCAAAAGGTTTGGTGACATTCGGTAGATTTATTGCTAGGCAACGTTTCGCTTTTCACACAAAAGCTTCGTCAGGCCAAGTGACTAGGTTCCGAGGTTGGTGGAGATTTAAGGCGGAAGGAGAACCAATCAGCTAAATCAAGCTAAATATCTGTTGGGTATCGGCCGAGGGATTTTCGGTGGTTGAGCAAGTGCTGGATCGGTGGGGAAACCTACATGTGTTTGGGTTCAACCTAGGGTCTAGTTCTTCTGGTTCGGTTCATTTGATGGTTCCTCTTGAACTTCGTTTGAACCTTCTGTCCATCTGTGTGATTGAGCTAGTGCTAAGATAGTTGTGTAAGGGGGATGCTGTGACCTTTGCTCGGGTTGGGATTTCCACCCCCACCCTCCGGTTTTTTCTAATGATCCTAAGTGGATTGACAACCACATGTCACGTGTCAACTCGGCTTATCTAAGACCGTTTTCCGTACACTCGACAGTTCCACACCCTCGATTCTATTCATTTAATGAAAGACAGACTCTATCTGCGGGATAATGAAACATTGGTTTCCAGCTTTTTTTACCGGGACGTGAGCAGTAGGGTTCCAGAGAAGATGTATAAGCTGATTCCATACTTTGGGGGCACTGATTAAATTCTCTAGCTAAACACTTTGAGAAGGCAGTTTATAGTAGTTGAACAGATTCACCAGAAGTGCTTCAAACTTTGGAAAATGGTAGCATACCAGATGGTTTATTCTTGGCGTGATCATCATCACGAGAAGACATCCACAGCCAAGTGAGAATGCACAGTCATTTAGAGCTTCCAACGTACACAGCAGAAACGGAATCATATGAAGTGGACAGCCTATTGAACGAGATTACCTAAAGCTAATCTCACCAACAGAAAAACTTCATTTTGGCCGACAGACGTCTCATCTTCCTGTTCATCTCAGCATTTCCGTTCGTTTCTCCGAAAAATATTGACAGTAATTTAAAATTAGACTAAATACGATTCTCAAATGTCGAGAATCTTTCCACTTAAAGCATTTTCACTTCGGTATTTGCCTTCGCAGCATGAAAAATTGCTTATCTGTTCATTTTTCAGGTGACATGCGATGGCAAGTAGCGTCTTGACGTTCAGCCATAGGGGTATCACGCACCAAAGGCCTCCGCGTTTTCCAAGAAACCTGTTCTCATATTGTTGTTGCTGTCGTTGCCTAAATACCTCAACTACTGCTACTTTCATTGGCTTATTCCCGGTCGATTCTCCACACAGTGGATGTTTGCACAATCATTCAGTTGCGGTGGAAACGGTGAAAATTACGGGAAGTCCAGCTAATGTGTGTCCCACTCCAGCTGTGAGTTAGTTTGGTATCGGTTTTTAGGGGGTTGATTACAAGAAGTTGAGCCACAAATTAAAGGTGAGAGCGCCTATTTGTTGTCGTACTTACGATCTGCTGCTTCGTTGCGGTAAACGGCAATCCACGGACGCGCACCACGACTTGTTCCCCGTGAGTCAGCTGACTCAGAAACTCCGACACCAGTGGTTGGTCACCTAATTAAGCATAGGAACAAAAGTAATTATAGCAGAGTGCCTGTCGTGAGCCTCATCTGGACAGCAAGAGGTAACAGGACTGACTGGTTGATTCAAAATGGAACGAAAATCGATAAATGCGACAAAGGTCGGCCAAACTGAGGAATTGACACAAAAGGGCACAGTCAATATCAAACGTGAACTGATTGTTTGACGGATGAATGGAACCATATTCTATGCGTAATTTGACCACGCCACTAATCAGCCACTCATGGTTCATATGGTCTAGGACTTAGCTACCAACTAGGGGGAGGGGTATGAGTTCGAATCATCTTAGAGATGCGTATGATGCGTTCTTGTTGACCCTCAGGCACAGATTCGCTTCACTTACGAAGTAAAAACTATCCACCACCCCCTTGACACTACAGTTTAGGCTATGGAACCAACAATTGACCACCGACGTTTTCCCAATCTGACGTGTGACATGGTTCGTTCGGCGAAAAACGCACTGCGTGTGTCAGAATCCTTCATTGGAACTGCTCGAATCACTTTTATGGTTTCGTGCTTGTTACATTAGCAGAAAGTATGGCAGTGGATCTCAAGGGTGGTGTGTACGGGATCAGGTCTTTGACGGCTGATTTCCCAGAATTATTTCTTCTGTTGGACGGTGTCCATGAACTTTCAACGAGTTGATGAGAAACGGGTTGTTTCGTTGTGCGGATGACGTACACCAAAGCAACCCAGGCCGGGTAGCTGGCTTAAACTGAATGCGGTTCATGTGATTAGAAAATAATGAACAATCTATATGGTACCTAAAGTATAAAACAGTACTATCCGGTTGATCACATAAAGGAAAAACTGAGTCAGTACAGCCGTTTGATCTTGAGACTTGCAAAAGGAGTCTGGCAGAGTATACACTCATTTTCAAACTAGTTTGGTTTTTTCGAGAGACTCGCCTGGAACCCAGCTAAATCTCTCGTTTGTGATGTTCTCAGGAAACTGAATGTGCTGCACCAGGCCGCCTCATGATTCAGCTGATACGATACTTGAGATATCATGATAGATTGTGGGACGATCAAGTAGAACATAAGGTTGACGGAAACCCGGGGACTGTGCCTACCTGATGAGCCCCAAAAAGGGCGAAACCGGTCGTGGGCTGTCGGTGGCAGTTCAGCAACCATATGAGTAGTACATTACAGTCTGGCAGATTGTCTAATTCACGTCCAAATAACTCTCGCTTGGATAATTCTCTACCTGATTTATTTTTGCGGTTTGGTACACACATCAAACGTAGGGTTGTGCTTCTACTAGACCGAGATCATTAAAAGTGTCTGCCCTCTGCTACATCAGTGTTCTAGTGTTGGTGTGAACACTCCTGAAAGTCAAGTAGAACATAAGGTTGACGGAAACCCGGGGACTGTGCCTACCTGATGAGCCCCAAAAGGGCGAAACCGGTCGTGGGCTGTCGATGGATTTTCAGCAACCATATGAGTAGTACATTACAAAGAGTCTGGCAGAGTTTTAGTCGGTAAAATAAACCACGTCAACAAGGGCAACAACACCGTCTTCAGTCGGCCTCAAATCGCGTGAAACTTTGTCGATGAGGCGAAAACACAGAACGCAGCTCAGGACTTTCGGATAAGTCAAAAGTAAACTGATCGATGCAGTGGTCACAGTAACATTATCCCAATGAGGGCTTACTCATCAATGGTCGAAGGACGTTAGGTTCTCTTGATTGGACTGCACTACTCGATCACCTTGAGTGATCAGTGAAGTTTAACGCTTTGTCTGGTCCTAGCCAAGTGAATTTCTCAGTGACGAACTGAAGCTTCTATCGTGTAAAGCCGTGTCGGACTTTGGACGAATGTTACTCATCCCCTCTCAATCGTCTTCTGTTAGTTTTGTTGACATACGGTTTCGGTTCTCCCTAAAACTTCAAATCGTTTTAACGAGTTCATTGTGGGGTTGTTCAGATGTAGCGCCTTTTCGGTACCACTCGCAGAAAGCCCGGGGGATATGATACTGCCAGTATGCTCAAGCGAAGTGCCGCAGTTGGGTTCGAACCACGAACCTTAACCACTGAGCTATCTTGAGTTTCCGGTAGCATAAGACGAAAAGCATGAATTTTTCTCGAGACAGCTTTCATAAGCAATGACTCTTCTCACTGTTTTACTAAAAAATCCCATCTCATGCTTTTAAAAGGCATTTCCAAGGAAGAATTTTGTTTTTTATTTCCGTTTTTTACAAATGGAGGCTGTCTTACTAGCGGTGGTTGAACAAGAAACAAGTTATAGTCTAAACGAAGCACACTACTTATAATGTTGCTGAAAAATGTTCCACCGCCCTCGAAGAGGCCCATCAAGTAGGTGCAGTCATCGAGTTTCTCTCAATCTTATGTTCCGGTTGGACTTAGATCGGACAAATACTGTCGTTTGTTTTATCAGAACCAAAGATAGTACCTGCCGGATACATGGATTACTTACATTCACGAGAACCGGTGTACCAACGCCTCTTTCCTGACTAGGTGGTAAGTTACCAACAGCCGAGCACACTTTTATATATCACGTGTTTTTGGAATGCTATAAAGTGAGGTCAGTCCAGCAAATACTTCGAGTTACAGTCATGTTACGTCCAAGGAACGCAGAAAAACGAAATCTGTCAGGCGGAAAGCTGACACTGATTTGAACAGTACTGGTAAAAACGTTTGTCACCACAAGCCCTGCTGAGTAGATTCGGATGACTGCAAACGCTCTTCATCTTCTGAGGAAACTGTTTTTACAACAAGCCGACAAACTGGGTCATATTTCGCAGAAAGTGACCGACCACAATGCTGAAAAATGGTAATATGTAAACTTAGAAAAACTGCAAAGGCCACCGGAAGAAATAGTATGATCGGAGAAGGTTCGATTCGCGAGGTGTCACCATGGTGACGTTACCATAATCGCATGCAGTGATCCTATTGACCATACGGGGTTTAGCGCACTGTGACTCCGACGTGTCATCAAAACCTGACTATTCCCCCAGTTTTTCAGTCATCTAATCCACAGGTCGCATTTTCACGCAAATACGCACACGTACGCGACTGTATTTGCGCTTTGTTGGGGAAACTATGGGCTCCGCTCTCACGTTAGATCTCTGGTTATGACAGCTCAACGCAACTACACATGGGACATCGATTCATTTGATTCCACTCGTTCCGGGTCCGGTCGTCCCGGACAGACCTGACCTGGAACGAGTGGAATCGCAAGTTAGCAGAGGGCGAAAGAACAATCACAGTGCCCGAAGCCGATGCAGGCTCGCCAACTGCGCAACCGATGACCATTGGCTGGATGGATCTGCATTTAGACGGTGCCAGAGTACTACAAGCTTTCGCTATAGCAACGGCAAATGGTTCCTAGCAGCACGAGTGAAACAACCTTGCTGATTTCGGTTCCAGGACGCACTGTTGAGTGGATCGCAACTAACTTTATTCGTTTTCGTTCCAAGGCTGAAAGTTTCCGAAGTGAGAAGACGTAGGAAGACAATACAAACCAGTCTGCGGTTGATGATGGTTGTCCTCTGTTCGATCTGAGTACGCAGCAGGACAGCTAACAAAACGGAAACGCTTTCAGCCAGAACGAAAATGAAGTGGATTGGACCGGATGGTACATCTAAGTCTCTTACTGTGTAATGCTGCGGTCCAACCAAGAATTCCCCATGGAGCCGCAATCTCCAAAGTTGTTTCACTCGTACTTATCGAAAGTGCTTGTGATTTTAAGGGAAACTTCCCTTTCTGCTGATTTCACAGCGTAAGACGGTAGTACGCTGTCACGACCTGACTACACGTGTCCACGAGAACGACGCCCGCCTTCACCCGTTCGATGATGTGTGCGGCAAACACAGACGCGTACGTGTGCGAATTCGTGTGCGAAAATGTGGCTTACGGACTCGGTGACCAGAAAACTAAGGGAACGCTCGGGTGCATGCCTAAAACGGAAGGTACATTTCACCAAATTTAGTTTAAGTAACGCCTGCCTGATTGCTGGAGAGCCACGTATGTTATTCCGTAGAAATCCTCTCGAAAACATCTAACATGGTGCGTCTGAAAGTGGAGGAACACTGCGTGGGAAGGGGTTACAGATGTCCAAACACACGATGAAAACAAGAGAGACACAGTGGATAATGCAGGCTCTTATTTTAAAAGAAGTTCTATCGATCGCCTATAAATGGCCATCGATCTGCGACACATTTTAAACCATAGACCTGTCAAACTTTCGGCTTGAAGACTGACAATCATAATGAGATCAGAAGACAAAATCAAGGTTGCTTAGAGGTTTTTTCACTGCCGAACAGTCGGACTATGCTTCGAAAGGGAAAATGTGACTTACATCCAGCACATTGTATGAATTCCCTAGCAGAGGCTGAGTAAACCTGAAGTGTGCTGGGTTTTGTAGGTGTTTGTGCCTGCTTGTCCTTTGTCCCGGCTCGATCTACGCTTTGCTGTGTATCCTGTGGGGTCTCGGGGAACAGAGCACCACAGAACTGATGCTGGTGTCGAGCCAAAGCGAGTTGAGCGTTGAGAGAGGAAGTGAAGGCGACGATGGCAGTGTTACTCCGTCGACCATCCGTAAGACGAATCGCCACACCACCGGGAATCAGATTCAACCCGGTGAAAAATCCTGCTATTATAGATGGGGTAGCACTCCAGGGAACTTGCCGGACTTCCACAACACAACTGTCTTCTAAGCTGATTGTTTTTGGGCTGAACAGAACGGAAAACATTGGTTAGTTTTGGCATCTATGTTGTTTACCTAACAGCCCATGTACATCTACCAATGAAAACTCCCCAGAATGTTGCCCAGGTAACTTACAAAACTTTGTGTTCATAAACGGAGCGGATAATTTGGGGTTCACATATTGGGACTCCTGAAAAACGAAAAAGCAAAACGTTAATCAGAATGATAAGAAGTAATAAAACTTGCGATTTTAACCTAACTGCATTTGAGGAAGGCTCATTCAAGGTGGTGAATTTCTTCGAGCGGAATAGAGGACTGACATCCGTCTGTGGATTTACTGGTGGCATCGAACCACACGTGAGCTAGAGGGAGACACAGATAGAGTTTAACCAGAGCCTGGCATATTTGGGCCTGTCATCCCAAGACTGAAAGCTCTCGCAACCCGAACGGTGAACGTTGCGGTTTCTCACGGATGTGCACCCGCTCGCACCTGCGTATAGCGCTCGGGTGAGGGCTGAAAATTCTACCGTGCGTTTTCTTCGTAAATACAGGGTAGAGCGCGCAAAGAATGGCATGACAATTCAAAATTCATTTCGTGACTGATGTCCTATTTCTCACGGTTGGCCACTTCCAGAGAAAAGAACATCGACCGCTGGCCATTTCAATTGGTAAACAGGTAAATCGACATCTGGACGACTTCAGGTGTGTTGCTTTCCGGGAGGGTGATGATAAAAGCTCAGAAGTGTCTATACGATGTCCAAGTACATCTGTCTCGCTATTGATGCGCGAAGCAGTCACATTCGGGCTCAGGCACACCACAGAGTACAACAGCAACTGCACTTTTGCCACCTATATACTCCATTCATTCATTCATTCATCCATCCATCCATCCATCCATCCATCCATCCATCCATCCATCCATCCATTCAT